AAATGGAAGTTAACTGATTTCTTTAACATTATGTACTCTATATATTTAACTTGGGAATTTTGTACAGAACAGTGAATTGCGGATTTCTCTTGGAAAGTGATTAGATTAGTGCAGCATTGGAAATAATAGTACTACTTCTCTACTTGATAGGTGATTACTGTAGCTTGTAAAAAATTTTTTTGCTCTTACTTTTGCCATCCTCTGGGTACTTCAGCAGCACAACTGAGTTTCTCATGCCTGTAGTTTTACTGCTTGCTTCTGCTTCTGGATTATACTTCATGCTTTGGCTGAGATGGAGTGTTCAGCTAATGTGATTTCTTTTATCTGCTGATTGAGATGCCTGTCCTCACCTGCATTTTTGTTCTTTGTTAACCCTTATCTTGCATCAGGGTTAAAGTTGCACATAGTCCCTTAGCAGGCAGAGTTGGTGGTGCTGTTGATTTCTGATGGCTGCTTTACCACACAATGGCTAGAGCCTGTATGCCATCACCAGAGTGCTTCAGCTTTCTGCTGGTTTATTCTACTGTTTTGTAAATTCTTGCACATGTTTGGCTTTTATGACTTCTGTGCTTCTCCTTCCATTCTGATGCTCTCAATGGCCTTTCCTTCAGTGATTCAGTCTTCTCCCAGCTCTTTTCAGCTTTTCTTCTTTGGTGTCTATTGCTGGATGACATTACTCACATTATTCTAATTTTATGCAAGTTACTCATTAATTAATCTTGCCAATCTTGAATAATTTTCTCCACCAACATTTTCATCCTTTTTTCTTTCTTCTGTAACCTTATCTCAGAGGAAAGCGTAATATGGCTAGAGCTCTCTGGAGGATGAGCTCTGCCAGGTGAGTTCAGGGGCACATTGCTGTGGTTGCTGATAAAGTTACTTTTCTCCTCAAGTGAAACTTTCCCGTGCCAGCCTCAGTGGCAGTTACTGGCACCATGGCAAAGCAAAGAGGTGGGAAAATGTCTGTCTCACCTGATGGAGTTCAAGCTGAACTGCCAGAGGAGGTGGCTGGTGCTAATGATCCAAGCTGTGCACTGGGACAGCACAGTCATGGGCCATTTTATTCCATTTTGCTGACTCTGCTGCCAGGGCAGTAATGTGCTGCACAGGCGGGGTCAGCACCTCTGGGTTGGCAGTGCCGCACTGTTGCAGTGTCGCAGCTGTTGGCTCTCCTAAAGGTTGGTTTGAGTTACTACAAAGTTTCTGTTGATCACTATTCACTGTTTAAATTTCTAATAATTATTTTTTCCAAGTACTGTTAAGAAAGAGGCTGCTTCTGTTTCTTCACCCATTATGTTTCACTTCTTTAATTTACCGTTTTCTAAAGGCTTTTCTAGACTACTGAACAGAAAGCATCTATGAAAAATAAAGCTTAGATGGAGATATTTTTTTAATAATGAGAATTTAAAAACATAAGGAGCTGTGTTCATGAATCAGAGGCTACTGCTGTATTTTTACTCTTAGAGATCTCAAAATATAAGGAGAAGCAAAAAATAATATGAAATTTGTCATTGTTTTATAATAGCAAAAATGTAATTAGTCTAGTTAAGTGATACACATTTTTCAAAGCGTAGAACTGTTTTCATTAATAACATTCTCAATTTAAATAAACATTTAAAATTTCAGAACTGTTTAAGAAAAAGAACTTACAACGTTTCCAGTGTCAGGTTTTCTTCATGTAAGTTGATAGTGTAAAATTTCAATTTATAAACTGTGAAATGATCAGTGATAGTTTTAATATGAAAAATATAGCGCTAGTTATTAGACATTTCAGAGGTCCGATGAAAGTATTCATTTCCAGCTAGATCATGTCTAAGAATTTAGCTGAACATCAATATTTATATTTAGGTAGTGCAGGAGTTTGAATCATACCTCCTTTCAAGTTCTAAATATGGACCATGTTTACATTAGTGAATCATGAGCATAGAACTTAGAGTTGAAATAAAATCTTTTTCTCCAGAGGTGCTTAAATATACATGACCCAAATCTAGGATCCTATGTACATAGTTCTGAAGAGTTGTGTATTTGAAAACAAAACCAAAGCATTAAAAAAACCAAATTTGTATGCACTTCTTGCAGTTTCCTGTGAGAGTTAAAAAATGAGCATCATGGAAATTAATCAGTTCTTCACTTCTTATATACAAAAAGAGAACATTGCTGTCTTTACATTGTGTATTTGCTGCACAATTATTCTGGGTATATCTTGTTCATCTTATGATCCAAGTTTTATTTTTTGGCACTTGCAATTTTTTTTATTTTTAAGTAAAGTCCCAACCTTCTCTATACACATCTAGTGTGATACATCTTTTTTATACTATATTAATTGAATAGTACAAAGATTCTGCTGAAGATCTGTGCATACAGCAGTTTATTCTTGTATTCAAATAATACAGAAGGCTCTCAAGGACAGACTGAACACTTATTGTTGGACACATTAAGTGAAATCAAAATGGCTTTTAAAGTTTTCTTTGCAAATTAGTTATTGCCCAAAATCTGATGACTATTTCAGAGCAGTTACAGTGGGCAGAGTGTGGTGTGTTAAAAAAAGCAGCAATAGAAGACAAGAAGGAAAGAAATCTTAACATGTTACTGTACATCATAAACAAGTTTGTGGTGACAGAAGCTCTTCTGAAAGCTTGACTGAGAAAAGGCACATTGTTTCTGGCATTCCTGCTCTTATCTGAAATATATACCTTTGCACTGAGATAAAGTAGTGCTGCAGTTTGAGGAAAAGATGTTACATGGCTAACCATAATACATTGTGGTTTAATATGTTTTTTGGGGGAAGAATGGAATGGGTTGATAAGTTCTAGTTGTGTAGTTGGAGTGAAGAAAAGCATCATAAATACCAGGCATTGATTGGTATTGGTTTGTAGTACTTGGGATGCATCGTTGTTTTGTATGCAGTGTCCAGGATCCTGATCTGGCAGTCAGAGCAGGGAAGTGTCTTATTGACTCTGGTGGCATAATTCAGAATTGGTTTTGCAAGTTTCATTGTCAAAGGTAGGTTATTTGGAGCATGTTTTAAGTGTCTGCCTTTTACTCTGGAAATGGTACTTTGTATTATTTTCATCTGTTTTCTCTATCTGCTTGATTGTTTTTAAACTGCAGTATAGAACCTCATTAAATTGAACCAGTCCATGAATGTGCCCTAGCTTTATGTGGAAAATGTAATTGCAGAAGACTAGTTTAAGAAGTCTTAACTTTAAGTAGCCTGAAGTAAAAGCAAACACTACTTTTGTTTTAGTGTAACTTTGATATTTCACATACATCTTAGAGGAGTGCATGTGATTGCATGGCTTTTACATATGTAATGCATCACAATAAACATTTCCAGGAGGATCCATAATTGCTAGCCTGAGGTTTTTAGCTCAGATCTAAAGTAAAACTGATCATTCATTGGAGGAAGATGGTAATTTCTGATGGTAAATAGTATAAATTCATAACTGCGTATTGGGAAGAAAACCAGAAATAATTAGTGTGTTGAAGTGTTTTTATGAAATTGTACAATGTGCATAAAGATTAGTAAAACAATAGTAATTTATCATGAAGCAGGCATGATCTTCCTGTGTGTTTGTTTTGTTGAAACCCTAAGTTTAAATTTACACTTCAGAATTTGAAGATTACCATATGCTCTTTGCCTTCAGCTTTTGACATGCTAGCTTGTAGCATTGTCTGGAAATTGTTTTTTGTTAAAAGTTTCCTCCATTCAGGAAAAGAAAAACCCTGGAGCAGCATAATGGAAGTGTCATGTTTTTTAAAAACAGTTGTATTATCCTTGAGAACGTTAAGAGTTTCTGGTCATTTGTGTACTCAGTCAAATACTGGCCACCAATTACTAAGTGGCAAGGAAACTGGCATCAGAGAAATGTCAGCATTTTCTGTCCTTTAATAAGAATGGCTGTTAAATACTCACATAGTGAGAGGAAACTACTTGAAAACAGAGGCAACAAAGCAGTAGATAGGATTATACTTATGGCTGTTGCTGTTATTTGTGGTACAATGTACAGTTTTCACTACCAAAGCTAATGCATTACTTAACCATTTTTCACTGGAGTACAGGGTATTACAAATAATGAAGACTTTTTGAAATAGAAAAGAACTTCAGGAGTTCTGTATCTAGAAAAAAACTGTGAATTTTGTGTTATTACTGAGATTTTATCACTGAGATTTTTTTTGAGCCTTAGGAGAAAGAGCTTCCTCATTTCCTTTGCGAAGATTTTTATTTCCTGAAAGGAAAATTCATAAATTATTTTATTTTTAAGCTGGAACCTTTTGTCAATCTTTGTTAGGCTTTTCTTTGAAAAATATGTTTTTCAAGCTATGCATGAACTGGAGAAGCAATAGAGAAGTAAAAGAAGCAGGAAAGATACACAACACGTGGTTGATAAGCACCTACCTAAAACAAATTGCTTCAGTAGTATGTTCCTCAATGTCAGTTATGAATTCCATAATAAATTAAAAATTCCTAAGATAATTTGAGGCTCACGTGAAAGGAATCCAGTAACGAAGTAAGCTTTCAGAGCTCCTGTAAAGAGAATGGTTGGGCAACAGCTTCATGTTATACATCTTGTGCTTGAACAGAAGTCTTGGAAAGTACTTATTTTGTTTAATTGTTTCATAGGACTGCCTACTGCATCAAATAAACTTTTTACTTATATGGAAGTATAATTATTTACTTACTTTTGGAGACTAAGGTTTTCTCCTGTTCGTAGTTCTTGTAATTTCAAGCTAGCATGCAAAGCAAATGGTGTTTTTGTATGTATGAAGACACAGTTCTCCACCCACAATTTACTAGCTGTATACATTATATACATATAAACATATTCTTTATGGAGTTGTTTCATCTGTTGGAAATGAAGTAAAATTGTATACAAGAATTATATTCAATCTACTTGCATCACAGTAGTAGATTCGGGGTATGAATAACATCCTCTGCTTTCCCTTCCCTAAACTTTTTAGATGCCAAATAATAATATACTGACAATTAATGTTTCCAGGCTTTGCTGTCTGTACATGATACTGTTGCTCAGAAGAACTATGATCCTGTCTTGCCCCCCATGCCTGATGATATTGATGAAGAAGAAGATTCAGTTAAAATAATTAGGCTCGTCAAAAACCGGGAACCATTGGTAGGTAACCCTGTCTTTTGGTTTGGGGTTTTGTGTTTGCGTGCAGGGTGGGAGGTGCTCAGATTATGAATGTGAATGGGGGATATTAACTTGAAACGTGGATAGACAGACATTACACATGATTATTCATAACATAAAGTAATACACTTGTGACTTCCATTCACAGTCATTATTAGTAAAGCATATGAAATGAATAATCATCATCAATGAGTGATCATCATGGTGTTTAAGCATTATATATGTGGGCCAGTCTGAGCATTTAAATCAAATCTATATTTGTCTTTTATCTTGAATTCAAATCATGAACTTACTTTAAAATGTGAGACAGAATGAATCCCCAAAGAAATCTTGACCTGTGTTATGAACTGTAACTGTTAGCATTCATGTAAAAAAACATGACCTTTAAATACACTGAAAAGAAAGCATGAAAACATATTTTAAAATACTTGAATTGAAATCTGGGCAAATTTAAAATGTCTGTTGTTGTACTTTGCATTATGAATACTAGAAAGTTAATATCTTCAAGGGGATATCTGGAAAAATGAAAGGACTAAACCTAGGTTGTATTACAAGAATATTAAAATGCCTTACTGATTTGGTTCTTTTTATTTGCTGTAGAGTGGGAGTCATCTTGTATAAAATTTAACTATGTTCTTTTTATCCTGAAAACCAGTAAGAGGTTTGTTTTATGTTATACTGAATATTTGTTTTAATGGACAGCAATGCTGGAGAAATACCTGCAAACTTACTTTGAGAAGGCCATCATTCTGTGCTTGAGACGACAGTGGGAGAGTGCTGCTTCTGTTAGACAGACAGGGGTACTTTGATAGAGCAGTAGATATCTTACTGTCACTCTAATTCTTGATGGATTTCTGGCATCAATAAACAAGAAATGAGTTTTCTTATTGACTGACTGTAGGTGCCCATGGGCATAATTACAAGTTTGACCATATGGGAAGTTCTTACTTTGTTTTAACATACGACATATTTTTTCCTCAAATATTTGAATAACAGCTTTAAGCTTTTTGTATTTTTTTATCAAAGACATTATTTGAGAAAGAAAACAAGCTTGCTTTAGGATTTAGTATCAGAAAGATTATGCCTTCTGAAAGGTACGTGGAGATTTGAACATACAGTATAAAATGAAGTCTGATTGAGTAGTTCCATTTTTAGTGTTAATTATAACACCTTTTTTTTTTGGTTTGTCAGAAAAATCTTAATAAAACCTGAACTTACATTTCATATTACAAACATGATTTGTTACTAAGACTTAGGAGTTCAATACCATAAGTTAATAGTGTCTCAAAATGGATTGGATAATAGTATCTTGCAATACATAACTCAGATATTTTATGAAAACTTCTGTGAAATATGTACATTGTATATTGGCCTTCTAGATTTTAAGGTCTCCTTAAGAAACCACTTGCTTAAGGCAAAGGTTATCCTTGGACTGTTCCTCAAATTCCACTCTTGCCTCCTCGTTCCGGTGGGACACTGAGCTCTTCCAGATACCTGTGTGTCTGTTTAAGCAGCTCAGCCCCACACAGCCTCTCACTTATTTTCCCCAGTGGGGTGGGGGAGAGAATCGGAAGGATGAACATGAGAAAACTCGTGGGTTGAGACAGACAGTTCAAGAGGTAAAGCAAAAGCTGCATGTGCAAGCAAAGTGAAATAAGGAATTCATTCACCACTTCCCCTGGGCAGGCAGGTGTTCAGCCATCCTCAGGACAGCAGGGCTCCATCACTTGTAATTGTTTCTTGGAAAGACTAAAACCATCACTCCACACACCCCCCAGTTCTTTTTTATTCCCCTGGTTTTCTTGCTGAGCATGACAGCACATGGTGGAGGATGTCCCTCTGTTCAGGTGGGGTTGGCTGCCCCAGTTGTGTCCTCTCCCAGCTCCTTGTGCATCCCCAGCCTCCTCACTTGGTGGGGTGATGAGCAGAAAAGCCTTCACAGTGTGTAAGCACTGCTCAGCAATAGCTAAATTATCAATGTGTTATCAACACTGTTTTCATCACAAATCTAAAACAAAGCACCATAGGAGCTACCATGAAGGAAATTACCCCTATCCCAGCCAAAACCAGTACACTGTCTTAAATCCACACTTGTGGATTTAAGTTAACAACACTGTTGGTGTTAACAACTCTTGTGTTACAGAGGTAACAGAGAAGAGGTTTTAGATCTTTCACTAGACACGACAGCAGCCATGGAAACTATAAAATGTGAGCAAACTAATTTCTCTAGTTTAAGACAGTTTTGTTTATTTGCCAATGTGAAAACAGCCTTACAATGGAATCTGTTGTAGACTTTTTATTAGGAAGAGGCAAAGGGTGGGAGCTAATTGAAGTGTTCAAGTACTTGAGGGTGGGGAGCTCACAAAGACAATAAAGTCAAACTCCTCAGCAGTGAAAGATTCTAAAACACAGGGCAGTGGTCACAAGGTGCAGCCCTGGTAGGTTTAGACTAAGAATTAACAGTAGTCCATTAGTTGGGAAGTCCAGCACTGGAGCATACTAACTGGATATGTGGAGTCTCCAGTATTTCTAAAGTTTTACTTTACCTGTGTAGGAAAACTGTATTTGTGATCTTTCTAGATCCTGAGCCTATCTTGATGTTTTATTTTTGTTAGAGAAGAACTTATGGTGAGTCCTGTTCCTTGTTCTCCAAGAAGAATTCAAAGAATAGAGTACAGTGTCCTCCTCCTCTTCCATAATGTACTGTCAATCCATTTTAATATCATTCATGTTCACGTCAAACATTAATTTCTTTGTGTCAGATTTATAGTGACTTATTATGACACCATTACCACAATGCATAACAAACCTATTGTTTTTGTCTTTGTCTTCTCTAGATTTTTTTCCCTTATGTGGGGATGAGAAGAAACATGGGTAGTAATTCAGATAAGGTCTTACTGAAATGCAGCATGGCAGAATAACTGAAGACAGGCTTATATTATGTATATTAGATCTTCTGTATTTATGCTTCCCAAAGTTATTTTTCTAAAGGAAGATACACCATGATCTGTGTTTACTAAACTAATTATAATTTCATTTACTATTTATTTCCATGTATTTCCATGTATTCTGAAGTCTTGGATATTCTTAGTAGAGATCAAAGAATCTCTGCTTGTTCTGTTAATCGATTCATTCTCCAGTCACAAAGTCTGACTTCCATTTGCAACATTATATCAGGATTCTACTTTTAGAAGCAACTGAGCTTGAGATTGGAGGTACTGTACAATATTTTTACTTGGATAGAGATCGTCTCATTTCTTGACTTGAAGATACTGAGCTCTTTAAACTTTTCTTCCACTCCAGACACAGGCTCATATTCTATTTGTACCTAAGCAGTAGAGATTGTTTTCCTGCAAAGCCACAAGCTTTACATCAGTTGCAAACCCTGGACGTTCCGAATTGCATTTCCTTTGGATGATTTTCAGCAGTACTCACTGTGAAGCAATTAGGCACTCTCTTAACTTCTTTGGAATAAACCTAGTGACCATTTCTATATAAAACTGCACCACGTTTCCTCTTGTGTTCCTGTTCGTGCTTTTCTCTGAGTTAAGCACCTCACCAAAGTCCTTAGCTGGGGTTAATCATATATTGATGAAGCCTGAGTTCCCAGGAGTAATCATTTCAAGAGAGAGAAACACATGGTTTGTAGGAGGGCCTTCTGTTTGCCAGATTTCATCAATTCAGAAGTCAGTGCTGAACTTTCCCCCAGTTTTTTGAGAGAGGTGTTTTAAACTTTTTGTTAATCCTTCCCCACAGTATTGGGTTTGGGGTTTTTTTAATGCTCTGTTTGCAAATACTGTTCCAGCAGTTTCTCCCTCAAGCGAGGTGAAACTGTGTTAGGATGTTTTGTTTTAACAAAGAAATTTGGAACATCTCTCAACCTTACATAAAGAGAAGTAGAAACATCTCTTTTCGGAGACAATCCGAAATTCACCTGTCTGTGACTGGACTTTTTATCAGAGAGCTTGGAGAGTTTTTACTTATGCCTACCTCTCCAAGACTTTTTCAGCCACAGCCCTGTTCCTAGTTAGCATTCCTGATATCTGAGATGAATAACCACACTACCAGGGGTTCAGCACCTGGGCTCCTATTACTGCCAGCTTCCAAATGTAATACTCCAGGTTTGTTACAGCTGGTACTCTGCATAGGATGCTTCTTCACATTAAGATGGTTGCTTCTTTGTCACAAAAATTCATTTCACATAGATCTGGTCATTTGAAGACTTAAGTTTTATGCCATGCCATGTCTATAGTCAAGGCAGTTCCAGAGGATGATCCATGCCATCCATCTGTTTAAAATTCTTGGCTTAATGAAAGGATGATTCAGTCTCCAGAGCTACAGAAGTAGCCTGGACACCTAAATTGAACTATGTACCTGATTTCCATAGTTGAACTTGATTGAAATGAATTTTGGTGATTTAAAGGAGTTGTTTATGTGTTCTGTCCATGCAGATGTAACAGCTTTCATCTACCTCACATTCTTAGTCCCCGTAGCTGAGTTCACAATAGTGGATGAACCCAGCTGTTTTTTGGTGGGATTTTGGTGGAATTTGGATGTAGGGTTATCTTTAGTCTACATGTAAGTGTACATTAACTTTTAAACAACTCCTCACTGTAAGGTAGGTAACTGATACTTGTATTTGCACTTTCAATAGAGAATGAATTAAAATAAGGCTTATTGGAATATTTATTTGCATTTGTCATCTGCATGTGCTTTTGTTTAACAGAGACATATGCAACATTATTACTGATGTTTCAAATTCTCTTATTAGTAATTTATTTTACAGGCTAGTTTTTCTTTCTTTAAAAAATAAAGACTTAAAATGTTTATATTCTGGAACCAGCAGATAAATGGATGAACTAATAAAAGTCACATCTGTGAAGCCCTGAGCAATGCTTACCCATGAGTGATACTACATTAAAAATGGGGTGGGGGGGGGGGGGGAAAGCAACTAAAAAATGGTGGAAAAGGCTTGCTGAAGGAGCTTGTATTATTTTTAGTGCTTTTGTATGGTATACCTTTAAGCATTTTCTTAGTCTGATCACCATATGGCTCCCAAACTCCTTATTTTTCCCTTTAGAAGTATTTTAAACTGAGCTATGCTATTACATCTGTATATGTCTCATTTAGGGTAACTTACACTTTTGGCTCACAACACTGAAAATATTTTCCAGCTCTCAAGGTCCAGTCTAACCTTCTTCCATTTTTAAAGCCCTAAATGAGGAGCTGCACTGCACATGTAACTGAAAGTACTGGAGCTGAACATCTTATAAGGAGAATTTCTTGCCAGATTATATATACCTCGTAGTTTAAGCAGGGCTGGCAGCAGTACAAGAGAAGCTGCTTTTTCAGAAAATCAGCTCTTCAGGTTTTCAAAAAGAAATCCACTAGTGTTTGATGATTTAAGGGTTCTAAATTGTGAGGAAAGTGGAATTTATAGAACCCCCTTTTAAAATTGTGTACTAAAGGTACAAATACATAAACTCAAGTAGTGTTTTTCATGGACCTGCCCATGCACTTTGGGTTTGCCACAGAGGAGATACTGAGATACAGCGAGCAAACTTGGGTTAAATAATTTTCTTGTCATTTTGAACTTGTTTTTGTCCTTTGTATGAGAATTCCAATTTGCCCGTTACCTTTGTGGGGCCATCTTTCAGATCAGTTAATCTATGCTAGGAAAATTCATTTTGTGCCAGTAGTGATAATCACTAGATAATCACTAATCATAGAGCATGAAGTGACTGTTCCACTTGGACAAGAGACTTATTGTTACTTCCAGATGCTGTCTGGGTCAATAGTGTGGTCTTTGATTGCACACAAGTTTTTTTCTAGCATCTGTCTAAAGAGCCCAGGAAAGTGAACTACCACTTCCAGACATCAGCATGGGGCTGGGGTGGTGGGTGATCACAGGGGAGACCTGCAAGTCCTTGCTTGCCTTTTGAATTTGGTGGCATTTCATGGTGTTTACTTCTAGGTAAAAGGCAAACAGCCCTCCCTATGAAGGCTTTTTCCTTGATTAATTAGGAGAGCCTGTTTTGTATGGACAGTGTAGTGGAAATGTCCCATATTTATATTTGCCTCTAGCATCCTAATGCTGCTCTTTTACTTTTTGATGGATATATTCAGGAAGAAAAACCAATAAAATAATTTTTACTTTAAAATAGCTAAAACATTCCAGGTATTATTATAAATTTCGAATTAGTAGCTGTTGCTGCAAGGTCAGAACTTAATATTGAGATATAAGCTAGGGGGCTTAAGGCTGTTTAATATATTCCTAATGGCATGCAGTTCTTTTCCACAGAAGTCTAGTAATGAGTTTTTTAAGTGAGATTAGCTGCAGCTAAATCTTTATATTTGAAACTCTCAGACTAATTTGAAACTGTAATGCAAACAAGTGCATGCTGATATAATTGTGTAATAAACAATACATAAGAATAAGGCTGGCAAATTGCAGATTTAGAATTTCATACTAATAAATTTAGAATGTAAAATGAAATGCACAAACACAGCACATCAGTTTTGCTTTGGAGTGCTGGCTGCTGTTGAAGTTTCAGCCAAAGTGAAGGGTGACGGTTTTAATTTTTCTCTATTTGCAATAAATGCAACTTGCATATAAAAATATAAATTTGTCTCCCATTTTTTGTCTTTGTGACTTGTGCTGTATTTCCATCTTAGAAGTAGAGGGAAGCAAGTTTATTTACAGTCAGTGAAATTGCTAACTGTAGAAAAATCTCAGCTCTGTTATTTGTACAGTTTTCAGCTTTATGTTCATGAAACACTTAAAAATTGAAGTAGTGATAAATATGATGTTCATATTTATTCTAAACAAATACAGCAAGGTAGCTATAAAAGCCATTAAATTATTCAAGGAACTTCATTAAAGAGTACTTATGTACCTTACTCCAAGCACAACACTTCTCAGATGGAAGGAAATTTTAACCAGTGATGGCAGAGTGCATGTAGCACTCAGAGGTGAAGTAATACTGTTCATTCACTAACTGCAAATATGGAAATTTTAAGAAAGTTGGCTTGCCTGACAGAGTCCTTAATATCTCTGTTCATTAACAAAGTTAGAGCTATTGCAGGTAACTAACTAGATTAATATGGGAAAGTAACCACGTGCAGTTAAAAACCTGATGGATGAGGCATGCTTTTTTTTTTTTCCCTGTTGTTTTTAAAAAATACTGGATCAAGTAACCTTTTTGGGGGTGGTTATGTAGTATGACTTACCTAGTTAAAATCCCCATTGTAGTTCTGTCTCCCAGAACAGGGCCAATATTTCCTCCCTGGCTCCCCTGGTTCTGCCTGAAAGGACTGGCACTGCAGCGGAGGCAGCAGCTCTGCACTTCTGTGTCCCTTCTCACTTGGCACTGCTGCTGCCGGCTGCTTCCCCATCACCTTGTGCCTCTTTGCACTGCACCCTCACAGTTCTTGTTACAAAGGCATTTTTCTCATCATTAGACAGCTGTTCATTAGAAATTTAACTACACTATGTCATTTCACCTCAGTGCCTTGTGCTGTCTGTGTGTAATATATGAAAACAGCCATGACTAACTCAGGAAATATTCCCTTCCTCTGCATTTCTGTCCTGTGAGTATTCGAGGTGAGCCCCAGCATTCAGGGCACTTCTCAGATGTGTGTTTGTTTATTGATAACACTGTAAAGGAAAATGGTACACATTGAGTTCTGAGCATAAAGTGCAACAACTATGAACAGTGATATACCTTCTGTACCTGTATAGCCTATTTTAATGCAGGAACTATGTAGTATAACCTATTTTAATGTAGGAACAACAATTTATGAATTTGAAGCAGTAGTTTAGTTTCAATTTTAGTAGCAGTCTCAAGTAAGCTATGTTGCAGTTGCCATTGAATTGAAAAGCTTTTTCCATCATTGTCCTTTTTTCTATAAACCTGTGTACTCACAGAATGCATGAGTTACTTCTGATTGAAAAAGAAGACACATTTTAAGAGGACAGAAATAGAGCAACATATTTTGTATATTGTTTTCATAAGCAAGTATCATTTATGACTTAATCACATATTAACATGTCAGCTTTTTGCAGTTTTATGTAGCAAATGGTTTTTAGTGTAGTATATTAAAATTATGCTGAGATAAACCAAATAACTTTTTTTTTTTTTTTTTTTTTAATCCAAGGGAGCTACTATTAAAAGGGATGAACATACTGGTGCCATTGTGGTGGCCAGGATAATGCGTGGAGGAGCTGCAGATAGAAGTGGTAAGGTGTTGCTGTTTAGCATTAGCCATCCAAGAGCTCAGAACAAGATGAGATAAAGTGGCATATTTTGTAGAAATTAAATACATTGCTATCACAAACAGAAGTGTTTGGGCTCTGAACAGTTTTCCAAATTGATATTTCAATACTGCTGAAACTATGCTGATTGTTTTCCCCATTTCAGTTGCAGCAAGGTACCTTTGAGTTAGTGCATACAGAGGGGTTTATATATATATATATATAAAATTACTTGTTTCCAATTGATGTCAGCTGTTTATAAATCATGGAATATGCTGAGTTGGAAGGGATCCATCAAGATCATCAAGTCCTACTCCTGTCCCTGTGTCAGACACCCCAAGAATCATTCTATGATGGCATATGCCAACCTGCTGATGGAGAAACTTGACTTTTTTTTTTTTTTTTTTTTTAATTAGGACATCCATTTGAAGTTTCGGCTGGTAGTTCTTAATACTGCAGCACATCCTTGTTTAGTTTGGGATGCTCAGTGTCTGCAAAAACCTAAGCAAGAAGTTCTGAATCATACATTTAGGTGTCTCTTTTCACTGAAGAAAATCTAGGACAGCTGTGTTTCATCCTTAAATGCAGTAATGGAGTAAATGAGTAAATCTAGATATAGATAGATAGATAGATAGATAGATAGATAGATAGCTTAGCAAACATTTGTGCCACAAATTAACATTCCCTTAGTGCTCTTTACACTATTTGTACCTGTGTAGCAGTAAGAAAGTTGTAGAGTAGAAAAAGAGTTGAAAAAGAATTGGCATAGATATTTTTGAAATATCTGCATGAAAGTCTGGAAAAGTTGTAGAGAAGGTGGTACTAATTTTTAGGAGGAAGACAGGAAGGTGAGTTAACCAACCACCTTATCAAATTTGTCTGAGGACAGTAGCTGTTATGTTCACCGTATATTCCTGTTTTTATCTTAGAGCTTAAAGTGTATGAAAATTGGAGCTTAATGTATATGAACAAGGGAGAAACAAGCTGAATGTTAATGGCACTTTTTGTGTAATACAAAGCTACAGTTTCGCACTTCTCTTTTTCTTCTGTAGGGCTTATTCATGTTGGTGATGAACTGAGGGAAGTCAATGGGATTCCCGTAGATGATAAAAAGCCTGAAGAAATAATACAGATTTTGGTAAATTCCAAACATTTTAATATTAATTTAGGAGAGTTAGGAAAAAGTAATGAGGCTTATGATTTCTAGTATATTTCTTAGAAAGAAGTGTATTCTACTATAATGGCTTTTCTTCCAGTGCCATCATTTAAAAACCTGTCATTTCTCATAGAGTGATTTCCCATGCATTACATACATATACAATTATAGATTACTTGTGAAGAGTTAAAGACTGTAATATTGCCATGAATATGTCGCAGAGTGTTGCAGACTTCAGTTCATAATCCACAGTTCGTTTTTAAGGCCCACCATGATCTGTTGAATTTGAACTATTTTAAATGTATTCATTAATAACTCATTAATAACTCATTGTCACTCCCTGTGACAATTAATAGTACAGGAACTAGATAGACAGTATAACTGGTATATGAAGATTTTATATGACATTGATTTACAGTATATAGCCGTATATATTATTCTGTCTACTCTCATCTAAACTGCACAGTCTCTAAAGCCAGCTTGATTTCTCATTATTGAAACATTATTGCAAATTAGGAATTTAGACTTTTTCAGAAATATTTAATATTTCTGAATTTATTTATTTATTTATTTATTTAATATTTTCTTTTTACTTCAAAGAAATTGATGAGGGTCATGATAGCTCCATTGTTCATGCTGTAGGGTTTTCTATATACATAAATACCTTGCTGTCCTGCTGAACTGAGCAGCTGTCTCACAGTTTTCGTTCAGGAACCAAGATCATTCAAGTGCTAGCCTGCTGATATTCATTCTTGCTTTATGGCTTCATGTTCCTTGCAGAACCATAGTTTCCTTCAAAAATTAATAATTTAAAATGTCTAGAAACAAAATACCACTAGAAAAGGTGTGAACAATTTCCCCATTTACCTTTCTGAGGTACCATATAAACATCAAAAGCTAGTTAGAGCTTGTTTCAAAAGTAACAAAATTATTGATTCCAGTCCTACGGCGGGTGAAATAAGACCTTGGCTGCTGCCTGTCAAGCAGTGAGCCTTGGATCGCAGACACCCGGCGGAAGAATGTCTCGCTTGGTAGTGGACAGGCCTGTTTCCATTTTGCTTAAGTCGTTGGCTGGCTGTTGCACTCTGCTCGTTTTATGAAACTTGTCGGCTGCATGCAATAGTAGCAGAGCCTCCAACTGATTAGCACTTCCTTCAATAGCAAAATGTCACTGAGGCAGTGGGAATATACTGTGGTTAATAAGTCAAATGCAGCCAGACACACTTTAAGTGGGATATAGGGAAAGATGAATGGATGAGGTGGTTGCTGATGGCTAACTTGTTTTAAGATTTATAGCGGAGGGCTTTTTTTTCCATTTAGTACACATCGTCTATTCAAATATGTTTTGCTTTTCTAGTTTCTTAAAGTTGCCAAGCGAATAAATCCCACCCCTAATAGCTCTATATGATAAATATGGCACAAGCCTGTTCAAATTTTTCTATAATTTTTTTTTGAAAAATGAAATGTTAGTTTGATTTTTCCAGGGATGTCCAAACTGTGCCAGGAGTCCAGCAGTTGCTTCTAATGTGCATACATTTAAGCTGTAGCATTTTCTCCTGCCTTCAGTACAGAAATGGGACCTCTGAACCGTGCAGGTCACAGTTTTTAACAGTCCATCTGCCCCCCCAGAGAAGCAAATGAACCCAGGCATTTCAAGTGGGTATTTTAATTTTTGTAATACAAAGTTTGGTTAAATGAAGTGGTCAAACTCCATCATGCTTGGGAGAGGATAGACTCATGTTCTTTTAAATTCATTTGAATTTCTTTATCTTCTAAGATTTCTTTGAAATATTAGCTTAATTCTGAGTGCATTTTCTTTTCAAATGTTCACCAGGCTCAGTCTCAAGGAGCCATTACATTTAAAATTATACCCAGTGTGAAGGAAGAAATGCCAATGAAGGAAGGCAAGGTAAGCAAGACTATTTTGGAAGCCATGGCAGTAACTGTTATGCTGAGAATATGTATTTTTTGCTTGAATGACAGAACCAATAATGTGATTTATACCTGTGGACTCAACATTTGTGATGTGACAGTACTGTACCTGCCAGCACACTGTACACTTCAATACACAGGTGCTGAATTTGTGAGTGGGTGTAACGTGGTTCTTGAGCTTGAACTCTCAGCTGTGTAGTTGACAGGTAATCTTCCACCTTCTGCAAGGACCTGGCTTGGTTCCAAGTACTCCTTCCATTGTTCACTAGGTAGAAGACACTTGATAGCACCATGCTTTAACAGTATGTTCTCCTCTCTTCCTCATATGGGCACACTGCACCTGCCAAGTCCTGCTTGCCTTGAGTCACAGAGCCTTTGCTCCACTGATACTGCAGTTGCAGAAGCAATGAGTTGAACATTCCCATATGAACTTCCAATGCTAGACATCCATAAGGATGTTTTGCAGAAGTAAATATTTACATTATTTATTTCAGTGGTTGAACAGTAAAAACAGAAGAGGAAGATACCTTTGGATTGTATTTAGTATTTGATTCTAAAGATCAAGCACTATTTGTTCCAGATGTTTATCAGAGCCTTATTTGACTATGATCCTAATGAAGATAAAGCAATTCCTTGTAAAGAAGCTGGACTTGCCTTCAGAAAAGGAGATATCCTTCAGATCATGAGCCAGGATGATGCAACCTGGTGGCAAGCCAAACATGAAGGTGATGCCAATCCCAGAGCAGGCTTGATCCCTTCAAAGCATTTCCAGGAGAGGTGAGCTACTGAGAAGCATAATTCCATTATTTTTTGCAGTAAGAGACTTGGCATGTCTCTTGGCATGTGCCAACATTGTTGGCATGTGTAGTGCTCATAGATTACATGGGTACAATAAATGTGCATTTGCAGCAGGACAACTAACTTGGAAACATGTTGCTGACATACTCTGGGTTTCCTTATTTCTCTGGCTAGAATTAATAATGACAAAAACTGATAGGATTACACTGATCCAGACTGAAAGAAAAAACATATGGAAAATAACACATCAGTATCTGCATTCACACTGATGTACTATGCAGGAATAAGAACTGCAGCAGGTTTTGGAGAGCTTACAAAAATTTTAGGCAAGATTTAATTTTTTTAGGTTGTGAATAAATTGCATTGTTTTAAGTAAATTTCTTATAAAATCTTCTGCATATTTTGCAATAGTCTCATGATATTAAGTGTTTATTAATCCCAAATTTGCAGTGAAAACTGAGGAGCTTGTGTCTTTTCCCCACCACCTCCCATTTTATAGGAGATTTGCATTAAGAAGACCAGAAGTGCAGGTTCAGCCACTGAAAATTTCCAACAGAAAATCATGTAAGTCTGTTAAGCTGGAATAGAAATAATATTCCACATCTCTAACCTTATAAAATAGCAGTTTGTTTCACCTACAGGATGCATTTCTTCCAGGCACAATAGCCTCTTGATCCATTGTATCAGTAGGAAAATAAATGTAAATAATGTCGTTAAAAGCTTTAAAAGAAGCTAGAAACATTCCCAGACCTCTGATTTTGTTTTTGAAGTACTGACCACAATTAATATTTTGATAAGTAATATTTCAAAGGTTGAAGAATATTCTTTTCCTGTTAAAACAGTGCAGAATTGGCTCAACAGTTTATATAATTTGGACTGCATCAACACAGTGAAATTTATAGAGTAAGATGAAAGGTCTGATAGTCTCCCCCTTTCTCCCCCATATAGCTGATAATTTTTTGTGTCCCACGAAGCAGTAGAATTTTTTAAAAGTCAGAACATTCAGTTCATTGATACACATTCACAGAAACACTTCTTACTGCTTTTTAAACAAACTCATCCTTAAAGTCTGTTTTTAAATATGGTAATTACACAATGTAAGAAAAATAACCTCTAAGAAAGCACATACATTGAAACAAATATTTTTCTTCACTGGAATTTACATCAACATCTGTTTTAAGTATTATTGCATATTTTACTTGACCTGTTATTTCTTTTAGTTGTGCAGGCTCATAACAAAGTGAGCAATTTAAGAAACTATCATGCTACAGCAGGATCTAAATCTTAAATACAAACACGATTGTGAGTTCAACTAAAAGTATTCAGAAAGTGGTCTGATATTTCCAACCACCTTTCATTATCTAACAATGAAAGAAAACGTATGGATACTATGGCAGACAGTGGATGCTGGCACATTAAGTGCCAAACTAAATGCTTTTAACTTTAAAACTCCTCGCCAAGGTTTCTGTTGCAATTTTCCTAACTTCTTGCTATGGTTGTTGTGTTCTGAAGCTTGACAATAACAGTTATTTTTCTGATAATCTTTATTTTCTATCTTTCATTCCATTTCACTCTTTGATTGTGTGCCCTAATGTTGTTGTTAACTCCAAAGCCCTTGACTAGCATTGTAATTACAGCAACAGACATTACAATTGCACTACACCTTTTCTATTTACATAGATCTTAGAAACAAGAGGAGCTTCTCCAGCTTGTAGTAAATCTGTTGTTTTTCTAGGTTCTAGGTCAAGTTGCTCTGCCCCAGTTTTGGAAAAGTGTCTGATCCCAGGGTATAGCTATTTCTCTCTGCCCACTGTTCTTGAATCTGGATAATACACTCAACAAGAGCCTTCAAGTAAGGTGGCACTGGTGCTTTTGAAGAGGTAAATCAGCTGCTGCAGCAACACCGCATGAACCCTTTTATAATGGACTGCATCTTTCTAGTGACCTTCAGGTGAAAGGTTTTACAAGATGCATCTCACCCTTCCAAATAGGCAGCCTGAACTTGATTGGGAATTGCCAAAATTACAACCCAAAGAAGACCCAGAGTACAGTGCCTACTGTTGTCTCTGCTTTTTCCACTGACTGCCTTAACTAGCTTGAACAGGGAGAAGAATTCCTGTCTTCCTCCCCCTGCCTTTAAAATATGACAGAGCATGAGGGTCAAGCAGTATTCCTATCACTGTTCTCTCTTGGAATTTCTTTGAACAAAGCAAGTCTCAGCTAAATACCATCTAGAAAGCAGTGGTGCCTCTTGAAGGAGGAAATACTGCAGAGTAATATAGGTTTGTCATTCTCTCTCTTCCTTTTTTCTTAAGACAATCTGCTGCTATATCTATCAGATTTTCATTGGAATAGAGGAAATGCTGTTCTGAGTAGAGATTTATCCCTTCATTCAAAGACTAAACGTGTTTTTGGTGTTGGGAGGGAATTCAGATTCTTTGTAAAGAAGACATTTTAAAGATCAGAATTTAGCAGTAGAATAAAAACATTGTGTCTAGGATGTTGCTCAAATTGCTCTCCGAAAAACCATCTACTTGCTTGGATTTTCAAGAAAATTCTGCTGGGAAACTCTGCACCTTTGTGATCTTTCTAAAGTTAATCAGCTTTTTTTGTGTTACCAAGCATAGCAGTGAAGCTGTGAGATACAGAGGCCGTGTCTCAGTTTGTGTGCAGCAGTCATCTTGCCAAAACTGGGAGATGCTGGAAAATCATGCATTGCTCAGCTGAACAAACAGCTATCTGACAGCACCAGAAACATGTAAGGAAGGTGACACAGAGAACAGAAAATTGGAAAGAACTGCTGGGTTCAGTTTTTTTTTTTTTCTTTTAGCCCATGCATGAAGGTGGGAAATTGATAATGCTGGGTTTCTTCAGGTTTGTTTTTTAATCCTTCATCTTAATATAGGGTTTTCCAGTGCTTGGAAGGGTAATTATGTGGGGAGACATGTTCTGTAGATCATCCTGAACTTGCTGTATATTGAGAGGCTGGTTGCTGTTGTAGTGGTGCAGTGGTTCCTCTCCAGTCATGTGACCTGAAATTTCTTAGCAGTTTGGAGAAGAAAGGGCAATTTGCCAGTTGATATTATTATGGCTTACAAAAAAGATGAAAACCTGTTGATTTCAGGAAAGCTGCTGAGAGAAGTCCCTTTCCTGACAGGACTGGGAATTGCACTAGGAAGCATTCTTGACACTTGGTATGTAGCCATGGTTGTTGGTCTGCTCTGTTCAGGCAACTCATTCCACAAATCCCATGTTTTGTAATGAGGAAAAAACCTTGACACATACCTTTGGTTTTAATAGGGAGAACTAAGGAAAAATACTCTGTTTTCTTGAATGCCCAGAAAAAGTCAGTTCTGGTTTCTTAGGTGGGATTCCTGGGTGACAGTGTCCTTCTACTTGAAAATTAATCTAAAAATCAGATAAAATCATATAATATGCAAGAAGTATCCTATAACTTCTTTTTTTTTCTTTCTTCTCAAGCCAGTCCTGGAACTGGAAAGGACTGTTATATTTATCTATACAAAGAGCTCTCTGAAACAGTCAACAACTGTTTTTGCTTTGATAATTAAGTTGTTTCAAAACCTGAAAGGAGATGGATTGAATTACTTCTGGGATGCCTTCTTTTTGTTTGTTGTTTTGAATTTTTCACTCTTTAGAGCATAGCAATGCCTGTAGTTGCTAATCTTTACACATATTTGTGTATCATACATTTGGAAGCAAAATAAAAGTGGGCTTTTTTGGTGACGATTGTATCATACCCATATTAAGGAAGGAGTGAAAAATACTTTCTACAAAACTTTTTCTGCAAGAATTATCTGCACTGAAATAAACAAACCCAATCTAGTTCTAAGTTATTAAAAGGATCGGTTTTTAATGGAAATGCCAATTCTTATTTTCACTTTAATAGCCAAGTTAACTGTTAACTGTGTCTGTGTGCAAGTACATACGCCTTTCCCAGCATTTAGCCCTTTTCTTGAAAGATAAAACAGAATAATTCTCACATTGTACCACTTAAAGTGAAAAGCATTTCACATGTCATGTGTACACTGGAGGAGGGGGCAGAACACTGTACATTCCATATTGAAATCACACTTTCTCATGTGCAAATGGAGAAGATGCACATTTTGATGGTATCTGGGACTGAAGATGAAGGAAACTGGCAATGTAGGTGGAGCCTGTGCTGACAAGAGGAAAATATAGAAAAAGTAGGAATAAAAATATAAAGGGAAAAGAGAGGAATTGAAATTTTGTATTGAGGGTGAAGGAAAGGAGAAAGTATTGCAACAAGGGCAATGGAAGAACACATGGACAAAAGCTGCCCATAAACCCCATGAAGCAAAACCCCACAGAGGATGGGCTTTGAAATTCTCAGATTAATGCAATTAACAGTATTATGCAAGAGCATTGCTATAGTCACTATTTGTGCAGTGATTCAGTTGCTTGTTGATTCTGTTTAAATAAAATACTCATATATTTACTTTGTAAAAGACTTTGAAACAGTGAATGCAAAAATTACTGACAAGAGCTCTGACCTGATTTGTTTTGCTATTGTTGGTAGAAAAATCTTAGTAAGTTCAACAGTCATATTTTATGCATGAGATAAGTGGCTGTTAGGTGTTCTGACCTGCTGATAAGATTGATATGTTAATTCCCAGGCTTAGGGTTAGTGCAGAAGTGATGGAGGAATAACAAACCACTGAAGTATTTTCATAATTTTTTTCCATACTTAACAGCAATGACTTTTCAGCACAAAGCGGTCTTGTACATTAATACTGTGGGGAAATGATACTGGGGAAAAAAATTGTAAGAACAAGCAGCATAGGAAAAAAAGTAGGAAAATGGAATGAAAGTAAAGGAACAGAGTTGCATGAGGTTGTGTGAGTATGACTAACCCTGCATGTGCTGGGATGGTGAATGACCCATATACCTGAGTGAGTGTGAGGGAACTCTCTGGGATACAAAGGGAAGTTCTGTAGATGTGTCTGCCTGCGTGCAGTTGGGTTTCATGTGTCTGAGCTTGTGAGCCACTGCTGAATGCCAGCTCCACGGAAACCTGCTCACCTGATATTCCTCAGTAATACTTAACAGCATTCCTGGCTTTAGGTGATCATTTTAGCTTGGACAGCTTGTCAGCCAGAGCTGTCTATGTGAGTTCTCCTGTTGCTGCATGCTGGCTAAATTGGAGTGACATGAGACTTTGTACAGGGAACAATTATTTGTTTAATAGCTTCCACTCTGTTAACTTCCATACAAAGACTACTCATGCTCTGACTGTAATAGATATTGCCAACAGGTTTGGTCATTCTTGCATGTGTAGCTTACTTTAATTTGTAGGCAAAAGTGATAACCTGTTTTTTTTAAGGAAATAAATTCTTTGAATAACAACCAAATAACTTACTATTCTGCAGTTGTTATAAACTGCAGTAATCAGGCAAGAAATTATACTCCTTCAGCATAATTTTGCTTTCACAGTGGTTACTGTGTTTATTCTTACATTATGTATGTGTTGTCTCTGATGAAAATTACTGGTAACTTTATATTTTATACTGGTATGGCCTGTAAGC